CTCACAGCACGTGCCACCCTAGTGCCCAGGTGTGCTTGCCAGAACCCCCGAGACTCCGAGGAGCCCTGAAAACAGCTGTACATCCTGAGGCCAAGATGACTGCAGAGGGACTGTTCCACGTGACCCCACCGTCCCAGCAGAGCAGCATCGTCAGCACCTCATGGCTGCAATCAACATTCATTGCTGTCGGTGGGTTTTCATTTCTATCAACTCACTGATCAATGAATGCAAACTGCGGACCAGCCAGCCAAGGACCAGCCTCACACAGCCACGGCCGTACAAGCTCATATGGCCTGGGCAGTTTTCTGGCAAGAAAAGCAACAGTTTTGCTGAAGAAGTGCTCGTATCCAAGTTCTGCTTCCCAAAACCATGTAAGGCAGGTCTATGGCTGTGCCATTATCCCACCAGAGGGGTTCAAGACACGTCATCCAGGTCCTTCACGAGCAAGTATGAGTGCTAAAAGCATTATGTAACTTCAGAACTGCACAGGGATTTTTGAAGGGGCAGAACAGGTGAGGAACCAACTCAGTTTTAATAAAAGTTACACCCAGTTGGTAAATATCTCACGTTCAGTAAAGTGTAAACCTAGAGCTTTCCCTGGTGATAGAAGATGAAACTTCCTCCTAAATGAGCCCAGCTGTGGAATAGCACTGGGTCCTACAAAGTGACCAGTGAGATGAGAAAGGACTGAGGCTGTGGGGCTTTGGATTGACAGGCTAGGAATGGGACAGAGCGAGGCAGAAAACATGACTGGCATGAATATCTGTGCCCAGGAATGCCACTGTCACTGAGCAGTGCAATGCAGTAAAGGCAGGACAACCCTGCATTGCCCCCACACTCTGAGGAGGGACACTCAGACCAGGGATGGTGGATCCCGTTCTGCTCAGCACTGGTATCAGTCAATTCCCTGTGCAGTAGAGGGTCCAAGCACTTCTCTTCTGCCTTGTTTCCTCCTCCAGTTGTTTACAGGCTTATTCTGAAGCAGCCTGTTGAGGCACGCTGTGCTGATACCCCACAGGAGCCATCTCCCTCAGCTCACTGTAACAGTTCAGGTCAGAACAACTCACTAATGACTTCTAAACTCCAGTTTGGTGAATATTCAAAATAAATCTGTGTGCTTGTTCTGCTAAAAGACTTGAACTTGTTCAGTCTTACACAGGAACAACTCTCCTGAGTTCAGCACTCACAGACTGAACTTTGCAAAGGTGGAGCTTTATGAGAAAATCTCCCCTCTCCCTGAGCCTGACAGTGAAGGGCTCTGTTCAGTCACCCCAAGCGAGCTCTTCCACAACACCCAGGGTAAGTGTGGTGCTTTGATAGAGGGAATTTACTACAGTAATGTAACAGTGAACAGCCCAAGAGCACGGCTGCCAAATTGTTTTAACATTATCAAAACGAGAATGACTCATTTTTTATGCAGTTTGACATTTTGCCTTTGAAATCTCAAATTTTTCAGCATGCTTGGCAGGCTCCCTCGGAAGTGAGAGTGCACAATTTGGATTTTTTCCAGCGACATCTTACATGATGTACAAGAAAGTACTTGTTGCATTATTTTAAACAGACATTTCAGCCAACTGGTTTCCCCCCACGTACACTTGTATGAAAGTACAAAATACAGAAGTCCTGACAGAGGTGTTCATCTTTACTGCAAGGGCATGTGAAAATAATTCACTGCAATTACTCTAAGACATTTCAGACAAACAGGGAAAACTAGAGTGAAGGGGCCATCACCCTGTTTGCCAATGCACAACAAGCCAAAGGGTTCAGCAAACACTCCACAGATCTGTGGATGCACAGATAAGCTTAAGAATTCATTTTCCTACTCTGCTGTAAAAAAATCCTCGAGATTTTTTTTTTTTTTTTGCTTTAATCATGTTTGGTAATGAGACAGCAAGGGAAAAAACTCACTAAGGGAAGACAGGTTAGCAGACATGTTCAGAATGTTTTTAAACCCATGCTTGGGAAGTTTCAGATGTTTCTGGCACCAACTGTTTGCTCCCTACCAGAGCCCACCCCGCAGATGCCCCGGAGCACATCAGGGTGATGCTGAGCTCCAGCACATTCAGTGCTGCCACCACAGCCGTGGGACAGCTGGGGCTGGAGAGCTCTGGGATCTGCCCAGCAGGACCTGCCAGGGCTCCTCTATCCATACTGGAGGCTCCAGCAGGGCCTTCCAGCACTTCAGGGACCCCGCTGCCCACCGGGTGCCCACCAGCACTGACGGGGGGATCCAAAGACAGGAAGACATCAAAAGAACTCAAGGAGCTCGGTTTATTTAGTTTATCAAAAGTTTTATATAAATATCTTCATAGGGAACAGATGTTTGACAAGCATTTTTCAGTTTAGCAAAAGATAACACATGAAAGCTGTGACTAGACAAACTCAGAGCAGCAATAACATACAGTTGTTTAAGGGGAAAAGAGGGTCATTCAGCTCATGCTGGACAGCTTTGCTCTTAGTATTGGCAGATACATTCTGGGAGAATACTGTGGAAAATTCAGTTTTGTTTTAATTCCCTTTAATGCAGGAGAGGCCTGAATGTAGTAAAGCTCTGTCAGGCCACAAAGGCTCAACAGAATATTAGCCAATATATCATCATAACCTACACATCTCTAAATGACAAATTATTCTACATATGCATGTGGAATTATCTGTTTCCATATAAAAATGATCAACTGTATGAACACCTGGCTGGATGCCTACAAAGGTGTGTTTTATTAATCAACAGGCAAATAACTGCCCAGACATTTACAACTCGGGGCCTGCCATCCCTGCATCCCACAGGGCTGTTCTCATCACAAAGGAAGGAATCACAAATTCCCACTGCAGAGGAACCACAATTCTCCCGAGTTCCCCAGCAAAAGTGCAAGTCCACCAGCACGATGGCACGTGGAAGGGACAATGTCCTGGCCCTGGGGGGCTTTTAGCAGCTTGAACATCTGAGCATCATTTCTGAAATGAGCTGTCTGATTGAAATTTCAGATTTGAAAAATCCAGAGAGTTCCCAAACAGTGAGAAGAGAGGTTGCTGTGAATGAGGGGTTTGCAGAGGCTCAGCCCTCTGTTAAGGACACGGTTTCCCAGTCCCACCAGTCTGACAAGGGCCTGTTGCCATCTAGTGGATCCCATCGACTGGTCCCTCTGCACAGCAGAGGCCACTAGATGGAGCGTTAAGAAGGAATTTTGAATTCCTACTTTTTTAGGTGTCCAGCAACTCAGATTTTCAAAGTCTCAAAAGTTACAGGCCCAGAATTACCGTGACATTGAAGAGGATTTCACCCACTGCTCTCAGTTTCCTGAGAAATTCCAGGCTCTACATTTCCACGTTTAACACTGAAACACCACAGATTAATACTTCCCTGTCAACATAATTTGCCATCACCTCAGGGGTTTATATCACTCACAAATGAGGCATCTACTTCACTGAGATACCTCTGGTGACAAAGGTTCTTAACCTGCATTCTGCTGGTGTAAATAATAACGTGCAGACCTGGTCTGTGCTACTTTAGTGAAAAATACCTCATCAGCTCTCACCTACGTGAAACTCCACTTTCATGATTAAGCATTAGCTCTAAAACTTCTTGAAGTCTACATGGAGTATCATTTCACATCTTTGGATTATCTCAGAATGAGAAATTCCACCTTATCATGTGGCAAGAAAAGGGGTACTTACTGCCCATGGAGTTCATAGGGAGGACAGGAGAGGAGGAACTCATCTGCTCCACATCCGCAGCTAATGGGAAAGTGAAAATGAGAAAGATGTGATGTGCATGTTACCAAGAAGTTTTTATTTGAAAACTTTCATTTACACTTAAATTGAATGTGCTTGCAGTTGTATTGGTAATCTGTAACTTGTGATGGTTTGAGAATACCAATTCAGAACAACTTCCAGCATAAAGAAATTCTGGATTACATCAGCTTTAGACTGCATTCAGACCATTACTGTGGAACGAAAGGACATGATGATCTCCCATCTGTGTCCACTACACTTTTAAAAGATTAGGGATAGGAAGAGAGATCTTCTTCCAAAGGCAGGAAATATGCTGGTATTTGATCTGGAGCAGCATCAAAAACAAGTGTTTTTAAATACAAGACACTCCAAAGCCTTATTTTATAACAGCTGAAAGAAGAAACAGAACTTCCTGCCTATGTTTGCCAATGAAAAACCCCAAAGTCAGAATGTGATCCAAACCAAATGCCAGATGCCCTCTGTGTTTTGGGAAGGATCCACCTTTCCAGGTCCCAAACCAGGAAAGACCATCTTCCAGTAACAGGGTCAGTTTTAACCCAAGATTAGGTAAACCAAAGATACATTCTTTGGGGCTTGATCTCTGTCAAAAGGCCACAACCCCTCTCAGCACATCACCACAAACACCAAAGTCAAACAGATCAGTCTCCATCATTTTGGTGCTGGGAGATCCCACATAATTATATATTCTGTAACTCCTGTTTAGCTTTAAGACCCAATAAATGCAGACTGCTAGTTACATTCCTAACCACAGAACACAGCCCCAGAAGCACAACTCCAGCCCACAGCCAGGCTGTGCTGCCAGCCCAAATCCTGCCTTTCACATTCCTGCAATTCCCATTTCCCTGGCAGGAGGCAGTTCCCCGAGGATCACTATTTACACTGAAAAGTGCAAAGTTCTGCCCTAATTAGGCAAACCACAAACAAATGTAAACACTTCAGCAGACCATTTTTGCAGGACGTGAGAGCAGACACAGCACCACACTGAGTTAATCCTCCTGCCGTGCTTTCCCACCTCTCTGAGCGCCTCACTGAGGAGCCTCCTCGGTGTAGCTGCTCAAAGCTGCAGCTTTAGTTCTGTGTGCTGAGCACCAGCCACAAACACAATCACAGATTTATTCAGCAATGCCCTGGGTCGTTCCTGTCCTATTCCCCGGTGAGTTATCAAGGCATTTACTGCCTAGAACATCTACACATTCATTTATCATCTCACTGTGTTCAGAAAGATGCACAATCCAGAGCACACTGCACAGGTCTGTGGTGTGCTCAGAGTTAAAAATGACTTCGCATCTTCCCATTTTCCACCTTAGTCTCCCTACTGTGAGAATTGCTGGCCCTCCAAAGGAGCTGGCAGCTCACACACTACACATGTGTTTGTAAGTTAGAAAGGATTCTTCATATGCAGCACAGCCATTTCAGATCCCTGGGAGGAGTTCTGTACCTTCTCCTATTGACAGCTACATGTGCTTTCACATACGGCCAAATTGAGCCAAAAAAGAAACGCAGCTTAAAGTTCCATTTAATCTTCTGTGGGTGGCAAGATTTAGGCGGTGTAGGTTCAGCGCTGAGCACAACTCAGCTCTCAGAAGGGCTGAAGGCCCCGCTCAGCAGATGGTCACTCAGGGGTTACCTGCTGCTCTGGCACACAGGGGTCACTGCCCAGCACGGGGGACAGATGGCACAGGGCAGGCACTGAGAACCCATTGTGTGAGCAGCAGTCACTCGGGAGAAAGCTACACCTGCCAACATCTGGAATAGTTTATCAAGTATCATTCAGAAAGCAACTAAATATTGCACGTGCCATCTGAAGAGAGCTTTCTGAGCGGCGTTTGGAGAGAGACACCGCAAATCCTTTCAAGTCCTTTAGTTGTAGATTGTTCATATTATAGGCTGCCAATAACCAGGTGTAACTATTTCTCAGCCCTGCTTGGGGAGGATAGTTTCAGTTCATGCTTGAAATTATGTATTTTAACTATTTCTGATATGTTCACCAAGGCAGACACGGTGGTCACCACAGCCTGGCTGCTCAGCTTTGAAGGCAGAATTCCCTCATGTCCTGCCCAGTGCTGCTGGAACCTGGAGATCCCACCCCCGGAGCACAGAGCATGGCACAGCTCTGGTACCCAGAGAACCAACACCTCAACATTTCTGTCCTTGTGTTACTGGCAGATGTATTTATAATGCAGTAATCTCAAAATCACACTTCAATTTTTTTATAAGTGTATAAAAGCACAACTAATTCTCCTACACCTGGCCTTGGATAGGTGCATTTAAAAATTTCTCTCAATATTAAAAGAATTCGAACAGCTCTTTATGAAACATGGCAATGCTGATTTTGCTCTGTTATCCATAACCCCCTCCCCTCCAGCCCTTTTTACCTTCATAATGATAGGCAACACATTAAACTCCTAAAATCAATTCAGCTAAGGCAAAGGAGATATGGATTAAAAACCAGCTAAGATTTTGGAAACTGCAAGAAGATGAAAAGGACAAAAGTCTGCTCAGCTATGAAGAGCAGCTGCTGCCAATACAAGTATTTACCCCCTGACCCCTCCTCTGCCCACTCAGTGAACAGTGCCAATTGTTTTCCTGTATTATACACTGTTTACAAGCCCTGAGTGGCATGAAAGGAATTAATAATTCAGCTCTTGGAGCTGATGACCTTTATTGGGGTACCCCTATTTGCTGAGTAGGAACCAGAGCAAAAAAACCCCTTGAAGCCACAGGGTTTCTTTAAGAGTTTTTCACTTTACAGCCTAATTGGCCACCATAACATAAATCAATTATTTCTCCTGTTTTAAGCAACAATGCTACCTATTCTCAACCACTCAATTTCTTACTTCTCTTGTATCAAGCCAGGCCTTGTTCTTTGACTTTTACAATGGTCTGGTAAACACACCGGCAAGGCCAGCTTGGAGAGCTTCGCAGGATCAGGAACATTTGGGAACACCAGCAAAAAGAGGTTATGCTATTTTGAACTTCTCTTGACCTTTGCCTGCCCTTGTCCCTGGTTATGCTAATTGAAGGGGTATATGGGCTACTCCCAGAAATGAACTTAGCCTGAACCTGTGACACAGCATTGGACTTTGCAGATGAGTTTGGGACCCCCTCCCCAAAGGCTGTCATCTCCCATACAGGAAGGGAGAGCAGGTAAAACACAGTCCCCTGAGCACTGCAGGGAGACCCAGGATGAGAGGGAGCAGAACGTGCTGCCTCAGTGAGTCACATCATCTTCCCCCGTGTCTGAGCAGCTGCCAGGGATCAATTCATGGACCCCTGAGGCAGAAAGGCAGCGGAGCTTGTGGGGCTGCAGACAGAAGGACATGGTCACAGCACAGCCTCCACAGGCACAGGGTATTCCAGATGTGACTCTGCCATGTCCCACAGGAGGCACTCAGTGCTCCTCTCAACCTCCTGGCTCTCAGACCAGCACATGATGGGCTGTCACCACCACAAGCACTTCCCTGACTCATTGTGAGGTTCTCCAGGACCCCAGGTCATCCCTGCTCCCCAGCCTGTACCATTCCATGGGGTTACTGCATTCCAGATGCAGGACTCGGTGTTTGTCTCTGCTTAACTTTGAAGTTTCAATCAACCCTTTCCTTCAGGTACAGCAGCTGTGCCCTCATTGTTGTGTCATCTGCAGGTCTGATGAGTGTGTCCATCCCATCATCCAGATGGTTGACGAAATTGCTAAATAGTATTGGCCCTAATATTGACTCCCAAGGACAACCACAGCATACCAGGCCAGCAGTGAGTGCTTGAACCCTTGACTGCCACCCCTGGAACAACACAGCCCAGTTTTTCACCCAGTTTGCCTACAAGGATGATATGGGAGAGACTGTGTCAAAAGCTCTGCCTAAGGTTAGTGACACAATTACTCTCTCCTCATTCATGGATCCAGTCATTTCATGGCAGTAGGAATGAGGCTGGTCAGGCATTATCTCCCCTTGGTAAACCTGCAGTGACTGTTCCCAATTACCTTCCTATTCTTCAAGTGCCTGGAAACGTCTTTTGGGAGGATTTGCTCCATACCCTTCCCACTGAAGGAATGAGACGAGGATGACCAGCCTGCAGTTCCTCAGAGCAGCTACTACTGAGCAGAGCCGAGTTAAAGGTGATTCATTGTCCCTTATCAGCTAAATTCTACTATACAGAGACATTCCTCCCCTTTCCCCTACATTGGGTAGAGCTTGCCTTACCTCAACACTGAAAACACACACTGTTTGCAGAGAGAAGTGGGAAGTAAGGTCATTGTGATAAATATTTTTACTCATTTTCATTTACACAGAAAACAATCCCAGCTCCTGCTTACCAACAAAACTGAAAGGAAACCTACACAGAGTTGAATGTTCCATGTACCTGCACTGCGTTCCTCAATAAACACTCCACAGACATTGTTATTTTAAATGCCTGTTTACATTCCAGTAAAATTCTGTCAGCATGGTATCTGATTTATTGATGCCATCAAAAGTCACAGGATTCCTGACGTGCCTCCTGAGGCACAAAAATCAAAGCAGAAAGGAGCTGCACGTTGCTGTGGTATCAGCATTACCCCATCCGGGATGGGATGGGTTTCCAGAAGCTGCCTGTGTTTTCTGAGGCAGAGCACAGTGTGCCCTTCTGGAAAGCTGGTGCTTCCCTGGGAGGTTTAGCAGGCTCTGCTCCTGAGAAAAATGGGGTGGTGTGGATGGAAGTGCCATCCACAGCCAGCCCTTGGTAACAGCAAGGTGCATCAGGGCAGCTCATTGCTCTAAGGGGGCTCATACACATTTGCATCTCATTTTACACTTTCAGGCTACCAAAAGAGCAGACTTCATACACAGTCAAACAGCAAAGCTTTTTAGAAAAATGCTGTCGATGAAAAGAGCCTCGAGGCATGTCCTAAAATGAAAGTGATTATCTGTTTCATATCCAATGCCTCTCAGCATGCAATGCCCCAGCCCACAGGCTTTGTCCCTGGGCATAAAATTCTGCATCCTCTCTACCTGGAGTACATTTTGGTTGACCAGGATACTGCCTTCCAGGCAGCCCAGCCAACTCCAATATTGGAAGATCAATTGCATAATCATTCTGTAAATCTGGGGAAGTTCTTTATTGACTTTTTGATCACTGATAAAATGTTGGCCAACACAAGGCATATTACTATCCATCAAAATCCATCTAGAGTCCACTAGAGTTACCTTCATTAAAAAACAGAATTGTCTGATATTATACAAGAGATTATTTTTTTAAAGAGTTAATATCAACCCAGATTAATATTCATCTACTGATAGTTAATAGCACATTATGATATACAGAATATGCCAGCAATCATGTTGCAAATTACTCAGTGTTCCCAGGGGCAAGTTGTTCCAAACCCCAGCCAGAGCACCAGGCTGGAAACCACCCTGTTTTCCCCACAGACAGGTAATGTGCCCGTTTAATCCAGCAGCCAGTGCAGGAATGGCACCGACACGTGATCAGCCTGAAAACAGCTGTTTTCCCTAACCTCAAGGTTAATTAATTTCACAGCGTTTATCTTCCAGTTTTAATTAGTGGAGCTAATATTACAGCTCCTGACTGTAATGGACTTGAGCTGCACGCTGCCAGGACCTGGCTGGCTGCACCAGCCCTGGGATCAGGAGCCTGGGCAGCACTTAGTGAGTGAATTGTGCTCTGAGGATCACGACAGAAGCCTTGACTATGAAAAACAGGTATAAGCACTGCACATGGGAACAAGCTTCCTCACTGTCACCACGAGTACACAGAAGCACTGCATCATCCAAATCAACAACTGAATGTATAATTAACATTAAATCAGCATTAGAGGGAAAAGCTTCCCAGCTGCCTGGTGCAATTTGCTCCTGCCACATTCAGCTATGGCATGAGATGGGCAGCAGCAGCACATGCTCACTGTCACACCAAACCCACTGCTGTTGGCATTTGGGATTTAAACCTCCCAGTCCTGTGGTTCAGCACATGGGAGGGACATGTCAGAATATGAAATACTCTGCCCTGTAAATCAATCCCCAGAGCCATGGCTCTCCCTGCACGCCATACAAGGACCAAGGCACGAGCTGAGCACTCAAAGTGTCAGTGTGGGAACAGTGGTGGGTGTTGCTCTCCCGTTTTTGTGAGGTCTTCATTTCCCACAGGCCATCTGGAAGGGGCTGTGGCTCGTGCCAATGGCTGCAATAACTGACCAGTCCTTCAGACTCCAGGTTTTCCTTCCATTACTGATTCCAGCATCCTGCTGGTGACATTCAGCGATCCACAGCCTCACCCAGCACCTCCCTCTCAGCCCCACCAGCACCCCGGGTTTTGTTGGAGTGAAAGGCTTACATTAAGCATTGTGGCCTCCCAGGGACAGGGATTACAAACGGGCAGGAATCAAGGGAAATTGGATTCTTTCTCCCCACCTACCTCTCTGCCCACTGTCTCCCATGTTTGCAAACCGTATTAGCTCCTGCTGCTTGCAATTCCAGAAACACTTCCCTTTCTCTTCGGGGCTCATTCCAGCCACATCTGCCAATGCCATAATCTCATTTTGCAGGACACCACATCTCGGAGAGGCTTTTGATTGTGGTAACACATCTAAGCATCTTAAAAAGCACTTCAGAAACTGTTGGACAGTCAGAAAATGTTCATCAGGATAGAAGCACCATTCCTAGCATTTGGATATTTGTCTCCACTTATACTAGGAAATCACCTTAAATACAGGAAAAATATCTGCGTTTTTAAAAAGGAGGCTCGTCATCTTTTCAAGGGGAAATTCAATCTGGACTGAATTTAGAATATACTGCTGCTCTGAAGAGCAATCTGAAATCTTAATTCACATTTAATCTAACTTAAAAAATAATACAGGAGTTCATGTTTCGCTGATTTTCATGTAAAGGCAGCATACACAAATTTTGCCTTTTTTAATCTCAGATTTTAAGGCATATGATTACAAGTTTTGCAATTCTAAAATAACTGTTACATGCACTGGTGAGGGAAATCTATTCATATTCTCTCTTTTCAAGCTGCTCTCCACTGGTGCTCCACAGATGGCCACGTTCTGCTTGGGCAGTGGTGGGTAGGGCTGCTCACCCAGCACCCCCTGCACCCCCACCTGAAACATCTCCGAAAAAATCATCCAGTGCGATCTGCTGTCCAGAGGACTAAACAAGATGCGAAAGGCTGGGGCACTGCCATTTATTTTACTATGCAGCAATTATTGTAGAGGTTTCCCTAGGAAAAAAACAAAGCTACAAACAACTATCTTATTCCAATTTAAAGCATCTTTCTATATTATTTTCTAGTATTTCTTATTTGAATTTCAATTTATTTGAATTTCAGATTATTATTTGAATTCAAATAACCCCTGTCCACATGCTACAATAAAATATTCCACAGATATTGACAACTACCGTTTACTTATTATTGGGTAACCTATATATATATATATATTTTTTTTTTTTTTAGAATAATTCAAAGATGAAAAAAGAGACCAAGCACCCAGAGGTGCATGCCTTCCCCAGCACCAGTTTGCAATAGCAGCTGATTCAATCTTATGTTGTTTTACGAAGAAAAAGTAAAATTTTAAAATTGTGATCCTCTAGATAAAAACATGCTGCTGCTGGACCTGCCACTTCAGAACACAGAGGTTTGGGAACAGGAAACAAACCCTTCACCTGCCAGCTACAGAGAGGGAATGGAAAAATATTCAAAGAAAACCAGCTCAGCATTACTGGAAACAAAATCTTCAGTGCAGGCTGGAGTTGCCAGTACAGCATAAGCTGTTTTCTGCACAGCCTGCCTTTTCCAAACACGAGTCCTTTGCACTGCGGGTGTGAGTTACCCCTCGAGAGGAAGGATGAACACAACACTTCCCTCTGTGCACACGAGGGAACGTTTCTGGCAGTGCCGGCCAGCCCCGTTTCCCACATCGTGTGATTGATTACGCTCTCCCCCTTAGAAGAGTTGATTGGTTTCCTGGTGCCAGGAAAATGATTGATGAATATTTCAGGCCATGGGCCTCTCTTCCTGCTGGGTGTCCTTTTCACATGTCTCCAATGGGCCTGGGGATTTTTTGCAAGACTAGGAAGTGTCATTTTTATGGATATCATCCTGTGATAGAACCACTTCACTGAGCAGAGGCCCTGTGTAAATCCAAGTGAAATGCTAAAGGTCAACTCAAGTGTTAAGGTGATGGACCCGATCAGCACGTCCCAGGTAAGCAGGAAAACAGAACTGGGCAAAGAAAACCTTCACAAAGCAGCAGAACAGGAGGCAATCAGTAGGCACACACTGAGCTTGCTACTGCAAACTGGTAGCAGCGCACTGGTACCCAACACTGGCATCTTTCCTCAGTTTCCTTCAGTTTTGTAAAACACTACAAATAAGGTAAATTTGCAGGTAAGAATAATCCCTGCTTGTGACCCACAGAAAGGGCATTTCCTTACTGCTGTGGATAAAACAGGCAGAGGATATGGAGTCTCCTGGCAAGAGCGCACACAAGACATCTGAAGCAACAATATACTTAGGAATAATTCCTTGTAAGTATTGCCAAAAAACATAGAACTACAGCTGTGAGAGTGAATGAAGAGATTTTTGGAGGACAAGTTGGTGTTTGGCAGAACTTTCAGAGACTCAAAGTTCTTTTACAAATTTTTACTACAGCCACGACAGCCATCATTTAATCACTTGGCTTAAGGATCTGAGGGCTCCAAAACAATTCCTGCAGGTAAACCCTGGGCATCTCAGACCTGGGGGGGTTTTACCCGACAAGAGAATTTTGAGATTTAGTCCCCAGGACTTCACAGTTCCACATTATGTTTCCATAAAAACTATTTAAGGTTTTTATCACGTTTCAGCTGAGAGGTATTTCCAGACAAGGACATCCCAGCAGTTTCCAGTCAGCCTGGCACTAGAGCCGTGATAAATTTTTCCTCATTTTTTTTTTCCCAATGTGTTTATGAAGGGGAAATGGGTTTGAAAAAATTAATCTTTCACACTGAGCAGACATTTCTCTAAGTTTAAATTTCACCACCTCTCCAAGCCCATAGCTGGGATGGTTAAGCAAGGGAAGGCAGACACGTAACTTGTGCTCTCTGAAGGACGTGGGGTGCACCCTGAGTAAATGAAACCTCCTTATCGAAGCGCTGGAGGAGAACTCACACACTCCAGGCATATACTGCTTTCAAGATAAGTTATGGGCAATCATTTACCAATAAAGAACTTCACTGAAGCCTCTCTGTGGTGCACTTCCTCTTTCTAACAAAACCTGTACAGAATCATTTTTATCAACGTATAAAATCTGGAAGTCTTCTAATTATGTAATTAGAGCTGTAATAATTAAGACCAAAGCTAAACCTCGAAGGGTCCCCTTGTCCCCCAACTTCCCTTTCTCAATTAACTCTGCACAGTGATAACC